AAATGGTAAACCCTTCCAGTATCTTTGTCAAGAAAACCCCAAATGGGGTCATGAAGGGTTGAACACAACTGCACAAAATTTGACTATTTTCATGGGTATATATTTGTATTGAATAACTTTATATTTATGTTGTGAATATATATGTATATATATATATAAATATATAGGATATATATAATATATATATATTATGTATATATATGTATTATATGTACTTGGTATCTCATTAAAATGTAAGCTTATTGCAAGTAGAGATTATATTATTCTTTGTATGTAAGATAGCATAGTGTATTAAATTTGGAGTCAGGAAGACCTGAATTTGAATCCTGCCTTAGACATTTACTAGCTGAATAACTCTAGGTAAGTCACCATATCTCAGCCTCATTTTCATTGTCTGTAAAATGTGGGTGATCATAGCACATATACCTTAGGGTTGTTGTGAAGAGTAAAGGAGAAAATAAATGTAAATTTTTATAGATTACTTAGTTGTTGTTGTTATATCCTGAGCACTTATTTCATAGTAGGTAATGAAAGAATATTTGATTGACTTAGAGGGCAGTATGGTAATAATCAAAGTATTTGAAGCATTGTCATGGCTAATAGGGTAGAGAAGCAGATACAGGCCTGATACAAGGAAAACTTCTTACCAATGAGAACCATGGGAAGTTAGAAGGTCTCTTCTTCCTCTTGGATTCTCTGAACAGCAGTAAGCATTTAGTAAAAACACTAACAGCCTAATTTGAGAACTGAGAAAAAACAGATACAGTTTTTGCTTTGCCTTGAGACCTCCTTCACAAAAACACAACTGGAATTTCTGTTCTGATTCTATCAGAATGATGGAGCACTTTGATTCTAGTCTCATCTCCATTACTAACACTTACAAATTTCTCATTTTCGTGAACAGTGCTATAATTAAAGCTATCGACTGAAGTCTTCAATCAGCAAGTGAAGATTAATATCAAATATTTATGTACCAGAGAGTTAGGAGGTAAAAATAGACATTCAGATTTTATAGGACAGCCTACGTTTCAAAGGTATATCACTTGCGTATAAGTTTAGGGAGGAAAATACAATATTTGTGACAGATTATCTGATTTATAAGGAAGCAATAAGCATTGTATAGCCATTGGATTGATCTCAAAACAAGTGTTTCTACAGCCAAAAAGTAACCTTCAAACATCCTTTTCTAAGCTTCAGTTTCCTCAAATCTAAAATAACAGAGTTGAACTAGATAAGTTCTAAGGGTGCCTTCTTGCTATAAATCTATGATTCTATGGTGATCAATAAAACCCCACAGCTGAATCTTTTCAATACTTAGGAAACACTCTGCCACTTCCTCTTTGGTAATGGAAAGGCCAAATCAAATGTATCTCATTAGAAATTTGTAGAATAACTTATTTTCAGGATACTAGCTTTGTAAATTACAGAGTCCAATCAAGCTAGCTTTTTCATGTCATAAAAATTTAGTCCTATAATATGAATACACGCGATTGTGCGGGAAAAGAAAAGGGGGCCCCATCTGAAGAGACCAATGTGGATGAACAGACGTCCTTCATTAATTTAGATTTTTAAAAGGACATGCACCTAATAATGAACCTGAAGGTACTATACAGAACTGATTAATTATTCTAAATATATATATTTTTTAATGAAGGTAGGAAGCAAACTGAAAATGAATAAAGAATGACACATGACATTATTAGAGGAATACTAGGAATTCTGAATTCTGGAATGAGCTGAAACCAGACACAGATGTTAAAGATGACAAAAAGAGCCATCTTTAAAGGTATATATGGGACAAAATAAAGATCAGAAAGAGGAGACAAGACAACTGCTTGGGGTGGGTGTGATGATAATAATAAATGATAGGGAGAAAGTAGAACTGCCCCCTCTCTTACTTTGCTTTTGCAAAGAATGACCTTCAGTCTGGGAAGCAGGAACAAAATGGTTAACAGGGAATTGAATAACAAGATGTGAGAAGATAGTGAAAAAACACTTAGCTTCCCTGGATGAGTTCAAGTCACAAGCACTGGATGAATGGTTGCTGGTGAATGTGGTAGAGCCACTGTTGATGATCTTTTAGAAAGTGAGGCAGAGATCAATAAGGACTAGCATGGGTTCATCAATAAAAGGCTATGCTTGGCTAAACACATTTCATTTTTGGCAGTGTTACTAGAGTGTAGAAGGGTAGATAAGGGACATGACACAGACAAAATATACCTAGACTTCAGCAATTCATTTGACAAGTCTTCCTTGTGAGCAAGAGGGAGAGATGTGAGCTGCATTTCAGTATAATTTGGTGTATTCTGAACTAGTTGAATGACTGGACCTAAATATAAGTGATTAATCGTTCAAAGTTGACCTAGAGGGAAGTGGCTAGGAGAATACTTCATGCACTTATCCCTGTTTTATTTAACATTTTAATCAGTGACTTGGGTAAAGGTATAGAATCTATACTATAGATTATATAGATTATATATTTTAAAAATTTGCAGAGAGGTAGTTTATGCAAAATGATAGAATTGTGTTCTAAAAAGATCTCTGTGTTGGGTTCAACTAAAGTAAAATTTGTCAGGATGCAATGTAAAATTCTACACATAGAATAAAAACATCAGTTATACAAGTACAAGATAGGGGACATATGGGTAGACACTAGTTCAAATGAGTTAGTATAACTTGGATAGGATATGGAAAGGAGAGAGGATGGGACCAGGCATTCCAGGCCATGGGAAGACAGAAGCCAAGGCATATTGTAGTACAATGAGTAGATCAGCCAGTTTAAAGAGTAAGGAAATATAAAGTTTATGTTGGAAAATAGTGGATGATAAAGCTAGAAAGATGTGGGTCAAAATTGGATCACGTGATTCAAAGTCAGACAATACCTTAGAGATTATCTAGTCCATTCCCAGAGTCCTCATTTTATAGATGAGAAAATTCAGGAAATTAATTAATTTGCCCAAGGTCATACTACTGGTGAACATCGGTTGGGACACAAATACCTTTTTTTTTGACTCCCAGTCCATGTACTGTGATACTTCCTCATATTTTGGAGCCTTGAATTCCAGGCTGAGGGTTATGGACTTTATCTTATAAATAACAGGGAGCTCTTAGAAGGTTTCTGGAAAAGGAAGTAATATAATTAGCATAATTTTAGGAAAATTAACCTGGAGTTGGCATAGAGGATTAATTTCATAAGAGAGTCAAGAAGTGTGATGAGAATACTAAAATAGTGCAGACACAAGGTAATTAAGGACCTAAACTATGGGGGGAGGGTGGTGGTATTGGAAAGGAAGGGACAGATTCAAGGTCCTGAGGTTAAACACATTAAAGTATTAGTCAACAGCATATAGTGATAATTCTAATAAAGGCAGCAGAATTCAAAACCAACCAAACAAACATGGAATTAGAGTGGACATTAGTAATTTAATCAGAATCCAAATTAGTGAATGTGTCTTGTTCTCTGAGGAAAATCTGATTTAGTCATTTAGGTACCATGCCTAACTTTTCTCATGGGGATTTGCATCTTAAGCTTTATTTCTAATTATAGAGGAAGTGACTTTGTGCCTTGTTAAGGGAACTTGAACCATCACCCAGCAGGCGGGGAAGACATCTCTTTCAAGGTGGTAATTATTTTTATTTGCTTAGACATTAGCTTCCAGGTTGGTCTATAAAAAGAATATGTATCTTCTTTGTCCAAAGAAAAATTTCAGGGTGCAGACACACTTATATTAGTGCACTTTTGTTAGCTATCATCAAACTGCAAAAAGATTTGAAGTGAGTGGAAACTATTTTGGGGTGCTGTACTAGAAGATGCAGTTAATTGGGATAGGGAATAGGGACTAGACCTATGATTTCCCTGATATAGGTGTGGTGTCCAAAATTGTCCAACCTACAATAAAAGAAACTGAAGCAGTTTATGCTACTATTAATGAAAATATAATAATACTAATAGTAGTATACATTTTTGGCTCCAATGTGCCTTATGAATCAAACTAAACCATCAGTGACATTGGTGAGCATTTTCTAAGTGTGTAGAATGTCAGGCTTCAGGCATTGTTCAGAAGATTCCAGAGACACCACTTTAGGCAATATGCTAGTACAACATGCTCCACATCATTGCTGTGTAACTTCAACTGAATTGCTAAATCAGCCAGCTATCCATATGAAATTCATTTATTTCCATTAACATGCTCCTTGAAGTTATCATGTGTCATGACAAAGGTACAAGGCATACATGGCAATACTTGAAATACATAAAAATATGCTTAGCTTTCCAAAATCTTATCTTTCTCCATTGGAGCAAATAAGCTGCAATCTTAGCTTCAAAAACTGGTCTGGGATTCCTGCTGCTCCCTATGTGATAAGCTCCTTCTCTAAGCCAGCACAGTTCAGGAAGTAGGTAGAACAGTAATCTCCCACCAAAATGCCAATGGGATGTCCAACTCACAATGTTCGTGGAATATACAAATAGAGTCCTGACCAAAAGCAGCTGCTACTCCAGCTGAGAGCCAGCTTTGCCCAATCTGCTAAGTGTTGTTCTTAGTGAGAAGAGTAGCTACTGAAAACAAAATGAGGCAACCATTATCATACAAAATCAAGCTAAGTCATATGATTTATTTCTTCTAGAGCTTTGGGCTCAAAAATTATATTCTAGTTCTATGGTTTATTTTTTATTGATTTTTTAAATATTGGTATTTTTTCTAATGAGGAGTGTGTGTCTTAGGGGATAAAGAGCTGGCTTTGGAGTCAGGAAGACCTAGGGTTCAAGTCCTGAATGACACACACTGGTTATTGCACTAAGAGCAAGCCACTTTTAACCTGTTGGTATCCCATGTACATTTCTTTCTTTTCTTTCTTTTTTTTTTTTTGTAATTTAAAGCTCAAATTTATTAGGAGATTAAGGGATGTATTATACATGGACTATAAATACTGCACAGATGACTTTATTCACAGTCAGACACAGAGATATAGTCAGTGCCAACCTATTTGGTAGACACTCTTGCTCTTTTGCTCCAAGAAAAGCTTGCACTGTAAGACTTGGATTTAGGTTTGGGGACCTTTCTCTCTTGAACGTCATAACTCCAGCCATTTTTTCTGCAAATGAAATTGCATTTTCTTTAGTACTGAAGGTTAGAACCAGATTTGATAGAGGATCCACTGTTGATGCCCAACCCATCAAAGGGTTTTCCTATTGCTCTCTGGTATCAAACTCCATCTTCCATTTCTTTCTGTTGTTGACTCCAGACTGCATGTTATTGCCAGTAGGAACAAAAATCTGAACTTTTCTAGTTTTGATATGCTCCTCTGGGACACCAGTCAATGGAGTACTATCCAATTTTTCACCAACTGTGATGAGTTGTGTGTCTTGAGCTCGGTCCTTTGTCAGCCACCATGTGGAAGTGCTCAGTGACCTAGTGGGAAGCCAGGAGGCCAAGGCTCTTCGTGCACCCAGAGCCTGCCTCAGAGCCGCTGACATTGAGGCTGCCGCCATGTTGCCGCAAGTCCACAGCCTCCCATGTACATTTCTAAGACAGTTGCAGAGAAGAACGTGATTTGCATTGCTAGGGGGAAGGGAAGTTTTCCCATCCAGGAGCTCCCTATACCTATGAAATCACTATTCTAAAGAAAAAAACATAACTAAAAAAACAATTAAAAATTACTTAGCTAGGTAAATGATATATCTCTCCAGTATAGGACAAGGTTAAATTTCATTTTTCTATGTATCCTTAGTGCTTTATCCAGTGCTGATCCCAGAGTAAATGTTTGATAAATGTTTGTCAAATTAGGCTTATGTCTGAAACATTTACTTCGGTTCTGCTGCCTTATAAATACTTGCTGAACTGAATTTAACTGGGTTGTGATGATGCATCTTAGAATTATATTTTAAAAATATTCTGAGATTGTGGTAATAATGATACATAAGTAATATTTTTTTAAATAAAAGGGAACATTAATCATTGAAATGAGGCCTGCAAACATTTCAGATTGAGTCAATGCAAATAAGTCACTTTAGTAAAGGGTGATAGTAGCAACAATGAGTCACTTTAGTAAGTGGTCTTAGTAGTAATACTATTTTCTACAAGCACAGAATGATCAGATACTGGTTCTTATAATTATAAGAGGCAGGTAGTAGAATGGAAAGATTCCAAAAAACTACAGCATGAACCTGGATTGGGATAGAGAGATAGATATAGACATGGGTATATATTGATATATACTTTTGCCTATGTCTTTGACAAGTACTGTGGATAAACCTTAAGCTGACTCTAGGAGGGGGGATGGTCAGAGGTATGAAGGAAAAGGCAATACAAAATTGGGAAAGGGAAATTTGGAGGATTTGAGGGGAAATTGAGAGATGAAATGAGAAGAAAGGCTCAAGCAGAAGGAGGAAGAGAGTTTGAGTTGAAGGAAAAGGAGTTAAGAAGAAGGAAGAGAAGGATTTGAAGAGAACTTGAGAAGTAGAATCTGAAAGGGTAAGGAGGAAAATGAAAATCCAAGAGGAGGAAGAGGAAGACAAAAATGGGGAGGAGAAAGAGAAGGGGAGAAAGACAAGGAGGACTGGTGGAGGAGATGGAATTTAGTAAAACAAGACATAATAATCACTGTGAGCTCCTTGAGAGCAGGGACTATATTTTCTCTTTGCACAGTGCCTACACATAGTAGGTGCTTAATAGATGCTTTTTGCTTTATTGACTTGAGATAAATTGGTAAAATGTAAAATGTTAGTAAATCAAGAGGAAAGAAGTTGACAAAGGGGAAAAAAGGTGAAAAATGCTAACAAAGTAAAAAAAGGGATAGCTTAAGAGTTAGTGACCATTATAAGCAGTTTAGTATCCTGGGGATGCTACTCACAAGACAGAAAAAGAACAGAGGACTAAGGACTAAGAGTATCATTTCTAAGAAGTATAAAGAACAGGTAGATTTTTACAATGACCTGCATAGTGTGATGTTTGCACTTCTAGTTAAATTAATTTTATCTAGGCCCGAAATGGAGACGATCTCCTTTCATAAAATGAAGGTAAAGGGGGCTGAGAAATATCCTTCCAAACATCAGGGAGAATGAGGTGTTCCTTACAAACACAAACAGAAATAGATCTTTAATTTTCAAACAAAGAAAAAAAAATTGAGAAGGCAAAGGGGAATCCTGAACTGGGCCAGGGGCTGGAAAGTAGAAGATTGTGTCATAGAGGAGAAAGGGAAAAGGAACAATTGGATACTTGGTGCTACGTATGAGTCATATCTAGAAAAGAAAGGACCTGGATACTCTGAGGAGAAAGTAGCTGCTCATTCTATGATGATGATGATGATGATGATTAATAATAATAATAATAATAATAACAACAACAACTAGCATTTATATAGCATGGTAAGATGAAAATAAAACAATTTACAAATGTTAGCTCTCTTTTATCCTCACAACAACGCTGGGACTTAGGCATTATCTTATAGAGAAATGGAGACAGACAGAGGTAAAATAACAGCTAGTAAGTCAGTGAGGCAGGATTTTAACTCAGGTCTTCCAGTGTCCAGATTCAGTATTCTCTCTGTCACACCACCTAGTTGCGGCTGAGGAACAGCAATGTGGATACACATGCTGTCAAATGAGCACTCATCCAGTAAGGCTCAGAGGAAGAAGAGGCAAGAAGCAGTGCTTGGTGACTCCCTAATAAGAGGTTCTGAGATAGCTTTTTGTGGGGGCAATAAGAACAAGAGAGAGGGTTACTGTTTTCCTGGGATATTCTTCCAGTATTTGACAGAAATTCTCTCAAGACTTGTCTAACCTCCCACTTCTATTGAGTCACATGGGTACAATAATGCTCCTAGAATGAATCTAGAAAACGTTAGTAAAATATAAAGTCTTGGGCAAGAAAATGAAGGGACACATATGGTGTCTTCATTATGGTTGCTGATCAAAGGTGAGAGCTGCAGAAGGGAAACACCGATTTAGAAATTGGAAAATAAAGAAGGTTAGGTTATTAAGACATTGAGAATAGGATTTGATTTCAGAACCATGGCTGAAGAAATAGCAATGATAGACTTCTGGCTAAAGATGTAGGGCACAACTAGGACTAGCAATCAAAAGAGATATGTGTATAACACTTAGCACAGTGCCTGGTACATAGGGGGTATTATATAAATGTTATTGCTATTAATTATTACGAAGAGTATATTTTTCTGAAATCTTGCAAATCTAATTGTAAGAGGGGGTTTGTTGTACATGCCCAGACCACCTAAGACACAGGCAGCCACATGGGAGATACTTTGGACCTGCTTCTGGTAGATAGGGCTGACTCAGACATGTACATTCTGTGTTGGCTTACTGCATGATTGGGAAGAACCTCCTTCCACTGACCGTGTCTTTAAATGTACCTGAGGCATAGATTTCCCTTCCTCCCTCCACTTTTCCTGTCACCCTGTCTTACCCTCCCCATTCTCCGGGACTGCACACCATGTAGTAAGGGGGAAGAACCTGAAGGCTTTGAGAAAGGGTTTGGGGTTTTAGTGTTGTTTTGTTGGTCTTTTTTGGTTTTAGGTACAAGAAGTAGAGTCCTGGACCTGGAATCTTGGAGCACAGCATTCTAAGCCAGATGTTGCATTCCATCCTGAAGGGAAGCCCTGAGAAGCCAGGGTCCCAGGCAAGCCCAGTTGGGCCTTTGGACTTGGAACTTGGTGAGACTAACTTTATGTCGGATCTGAGCTAAGCTAATCACTCTCAACTCCCTAGAGATGGAGGTGGTACGGAGGAGGACTATTCCTTCCCAGATGTTGGGGGAAAATGTTTGTGTGTTTGTTCTTGCTATATCTTTGAAGTAATTGTTTCTCTGTAAAAGCCAATCTGACTTTTAAGTGGATAAATGGAACTCATGTGCTTGGACCCCTAAAATTGCAGGAACACAATTTATGGGGCTTGAAGCAATGGTAGAGATAATATCTCCACCCTCCCCTCATATCCTCCAACCCAACAAGGGTACTGGAAAATTCTGGGGAAGGAGTGGAATGTAACAAACCTGGCTTTCAGGCAGTGGGAACCAGAGTAATTACTGTTATATAATCAAAGGGCTTTAAAATGAAAAGAAAAGGTGAGGAAGAAAATTCTTTTTTTTAATACATAACTACTAAGGAAGAAATGTAGAAGTAGATATTCCTAGAAGGTCATAGAAGACAAATCCAAGAAAGCAACCCATAGGAAAGAACCATAGCTTCAGAGATTTATAAGCATTTGCCCCGCCCCCCAAAAAAGGTAATAAGCAAGAAAAATTAGAGATACTAATTCAAGAAAGAAGTTTAACTAGATAGACTATGACTATGGAAAAGGAAATTAAAGAGAAAAAACAGGACAGGTAAATGTGAGAAAGGCCTTATACATAAAAAAGGGGGCAGGTGGAGTGGTACTGCACATTAAAAAGATATATTCATTTGAGGAATTTTAAGAAGTTTGGTTAGGAACATTTGGGGGAAGCTCAATAGAGGCAAAATAAAGAAAAAATGATCACCCGAGTATTATATAGACCAGAAGTGTAAAAAAAAAAGACCTGCAACATTTTTGTGTGGCCTGAATCAGATTAAAATGTAATTGGGAAATATTTTGCAAAATAAATAAAAAATATGATAAAACAGAGATAATATTACATTTTAAAATTGAGCCAATATGTGGCCCTTACGGATCCTTATGTAGGTATTAGAGGCTCCCTTTTCTATTTGAATTTGATACCACTAATGTAGACCACTGTAAACAAGAAATAGATAAATGTGGAAAATAGACCACAAACTTGGAGTTGAGCTAGGGTATAGTAGTCAGTCAATTCACATTTTAAAAATTAATTAATTAATTTATTTTTAGTTTTTAACATTCACTTTTATAGGATTTTGAATTATAAATATCCAGCCCCCCCAACCCCAAGAAAGTACGCAATCTGATATAGGCTATACGTGTATGATCATATTAAACATATTTCCATATTAGTCATGTTGTAAAGAAGAATCAGAAACAAAGGGGAAAACCATGAGAAAGAAAACACAAAAACGACAAAAAAGACAAAATAGTATGCTTCTATCTGTATTCAGACTCCATAGTTCTTTCTCTGGATATGGAGAGTATTTCCCATCATGAGTCTTTTAGAAATGTCTTAGATCATTGCATTGCTCAGAAGAGCTAAGTCTAACAAAGTTGGTCATTGTACAATGTTGCTGTTACTGTGTACAGTGTTCTTCTGGTTCTGCTCACTTCACTCAGCATCAGTTCATGCAAGTCTTTCCAGGTTTTTCTGAAGTCTGCCTGCTCACCATTTTTTATGGAGTAATAATATTCCATTACATTCATATAGCACAACTTGTTCAGCCATTCCCCAATTGATGACCATCCCCTCAATTTCCAATTCTTGGCCACCACAAAAAGAGCAGCTATAAATATTTTTGTACGTGTGAGTCCTTTTCTCTTTTTTATGATCTGTTTGGGATACGGACCAAGTAATAGTATTGCTGGATCAAAGG